TGTGCGAATTGGAGCCTCCGAGTGCTCCTCAAGGGGAGCCCCATGTAGAGAGCGTTACAGTAGTCCAGACGGGAAGTGACGAGGGCGTGAGTGACCGTGCGTAAGGAGTCCCGATCTAAAAAGGGACATACTAATGGTACTCCACCCCAAAACCACGGATGATCTCGCCCAACGGCTTTACATAAATGTTGAACAAAAGGGGCGAGAGGACTGATCCTTGTGGCACCCCACATATAAGGGGCCTCAGGGTCAACCTCTGCCCCCGTCAACACAGACTGCGACCGGTCGGAGAGAAAGGAGGAGAACCACCGTAGTACAGTGCCTCCCACCCCCAACTCTTCCAACCGGTGCAGCATGATACCATGGTCGATGGTATCAAAAGCCGCTGAGAGATCTAACAGGACCAGGACAGAGGAGCACCCCCTGTCCCGAGCCCTCCAGAGATCATCCACCAACGCGACCAATGCCATTTCCGTGCTGTACCCAGGCCTGAAGCCCGACTGTAACGGATCTAGATATGACGTTTCATCCAGGTACTGGGGGAGCTGTAGTAACAGCAGCAAGAATAGTGTTTGCACAACAATGGAAAAATGATGAGGTCCCGACAGATGAAAATGTAATTTAAAAAAAAAATTAGAAAGTGTTGAGATGGATAGATTGGCACTTAAGAGCCTGGGGAGAGCAAAAAACAGGCCTATCGGAAATCCAAAAACAGGCCCGTTTTCGGCCTCCGGAGCCTGTGGGAGCCCGTTTTCACCCTCCCAGTGGCTCAATGAAAGAATGCAAAGAGCAAGAAAGTATATAAGGAGCCTGGAGGCTAAATCATATGGTAGAGGGCTAATGGAACTAGCTATGTTAAGTTTATTAAAGAGAAGGCTTGGGTATCATGATAGCCATTTTCCAATACTTGAAAGGCTGTCACGGAGAAGAGGGAGTTGATTTATTCTCCAAAGCAACTGATGGCTGGACAAGACACAATGGATGATATTGCTCATCAGGAGCTCCAACCTGAAACTAAGGAGAAATTTCCTGACACTAAGAACATTTGGTCAATGGAACAGCCTGGTTCCTGGAATTGTCATTTATGATAATCAAAATTAAACCTATAGGCATTACCATACTTATGGACAGGTTACATTCTGAGCAGCTGTTCACAATTTTTTTCACAAATTCAAACTAGTGTAAAAACACAAACATGTAGAATTCTTACCTTACATAAGTTGCAAGCTTGCAGTAAAAACTGATGATGGTGGTATTGGCTTATCCCGCCAGAAATGAGATGGCTCTTTTCTCCATCTTTCAGAAAAAGCAATCCAGTGAATTTTGGATAATATCCTTCTTTTCCTCATAGATGAGATTATAGAAGTGGATTGTATCATGGACAGCTGCAGACATTTTAGTGAAGCGCTTGACAATAGAGTCTTGTGTTTTGGACAATGACAACACTTTGTCTATCATGCTGAACCCTCTCTGCTATCAGCTTAGCCTGGAACTGCTTTGGTGATGCAATTTTTCCTCTTGTTTTTACTAGCTCTCAAATTCCATGAGATCTTTATAGGAGAATTCCTCCATGTGTGCAACTAATTGCTCATCTCCAGGTCGAATTGAATCTCCCTGCTGAGGGCAACCAAGTTGCTAACTATGCTCTGCAACTACCTTCTGCCATTTCAAACCTTCAAAGATCATAATTGACCTCACAGATATTTTCACACCCCATTCAAGTTGGCAGAGATAACCTTGCACCAGGCTGAATCCTTGTTCTTGACAGTCACTAGATGTAGGACTTCCAAAACTGGTACAAGATCTTTGGGAATCTGTTTTGGTTGTTTACCTCAATGTGCAGTGAAGAAAATATTTTTTGAAGGTTGCTATCATTTCCTGGTCCATAAGCTGTAGGAGGGAGGTGGTTACATAGATAGATACACAACCTTCACATTTGGGAAGAAATCATTCAGGTAAAGTGGATGACATGAGGCACTATCCAAAATTAGCAAAATCTGGAACACAACGTTTTTCTTGGGACAATACCTTCCCACTTCCAAGACAAAATGTTAGAAGAACAAGTCCTCAAAGGTGAGAAGGGTTACCCAAGCTTTCTTGTTAGCCTTCCACATAATTGGAAGTAAGTTCTTTTAGATGCTAAGAGCTTGTGGATTCTTGAAGTCATTGATTACTAGTAGTTTTAGGTTCATCACCACAAGCATTGCCAGGTAGCATCACAGTTAGCCTATCCTCTGCAGCTTTGAAGACTGGTGTTGTCTTCTCTTTTTGCTGTTGTAGATTCTTTCTGGCATTTTCTTCCAATTAGCCCCATTTCATCCATACTGAATATTTACTAGAGCAAATAACCACCTTCCTTGATCTCTTTGAAGGTTTTTGGAACTCAACTGCATCCTGGTCTCACTTTTCATTTCTCCATTCATTTTCACATTAGGAAGGTTCTTATGAGCCTTAAAACCTAGGAACCACTCATTATTTACTCTTCAACAGTACTTTCACTAACCTTCTGTTGCAAGTCATGAAGCAAGCCCTTGCCTTCTCCTGAATTAGTATTAGGATAAACTGTGCATATCACTGATGTTGATATTCAATTGACATGCTGAGTAACATCTCTAACTTTTCTATCATAGAAAATAGAACATAAAATAATAGCTGGAAGGGACTTGGAGGTCTTCTAGCTCAACCCACTGCTCAAGCACGAGACCCTATACCATTTCAGACAAATGATTGTCCAGTGTCTTTGAAAGCTTCCAATGATGGAGCCCCCACAACTTCTCAAGGCAAGCTATTCCATTAGTTGAGTGCTCTTACCATTAGGAAATTTCTCCTTAGTTCTAGTTCTCTCGCTGTTAGTTTTCAACCATTGTTTATTGTCTGCCTTTTGGTGTTTTGGAAAATAGTTTGACATCTTCATCCTTTTAGGAGCCCCTCAAATATTGGAACACTGCTATCATGTCTCCCCTAGTTTAATGAAAAGAAGTTCATTAAACTAGACATACCCAACTCCTGTAACCATTCTTCATATATTTTAGCCCTCGGTCTCCTAATCATTTTTGTTGCTGCTCGCTGCACTCATTCCAAAGTCTCAACATCTTTTTTGTATTGTGATGACCAAAACTGGATACAGCATTCAAAGTGTGGTCTTACTAAGGCTTTGTAAACCAGTACTAGAACTTCACATGATCTTGATTCTATCCCTTGCTAATGTAGCCTAGGATTGCATTGACTTTTTTGGCTGCCGCGACATATTATTAGGCCATATTTAAATTATTGTCCACTAGGACTCCAAAATCCCTCTTGCAGTTACTGGCATTAAGTCAAGTTTCATCTAGTCTACACCTATACATTTGCTTTTTCTTGCCTAAGTGTAAAACCTTATTTTTATCTACATTGAATTTCATTTTGTTAGATTAGGCCTAGTGTTCAAGTCTGTCAAGATCTTTTTAGATCTTGAGCTCGTCTTCTGGGGTGTTGGCTATTCCTCCCATCTTAGTATCGTCTGCAAATTTGAGGGGTTCCCCTTCAACTCCCTTGTCTAGATCATTTATGAAGATATTGAAGAGTACTTGACGTAAAACAAGACCTCCTTGGGGTACCCCACTGCTTACTTCCCTCCATGTGGATATAGTTCCATTGAGGACTATTAAGTATGACTTACCAGCCAGTTAAAGGTGATGATGCTGTCTATCCCACGTTTTATTAGCTTGCCAGGAAGTAGGTTGCGGTCTATCTCATCAAATGCTTTACTGAAATCTAAGTGTACTATGTCCACAACATTTCACAGATCTACTAATCTGGTCACTTTGTTGAAGAATGAAATAAGATTTGTTTGGCATGATCTGGTTTTGACAATCACTTTTTCTTTTCTCTTGCCTGTTATCATGGATAATATAGGCTCTGAACTTTTCACATGTTCTATAATTTTGTTTTTGTTCTTAATGATTGCTCCAATTATGCAATGGTTCACACAAAAGGAACATGATATGTTCATCATTTCTTACCTCCCCCACATAGCCACATTCATTTCCATCTTGATAGAATGGTGTTTCTTTGTGCACTATGTGCACCACCCCCACCCCCGGTGCTTCATTGCAGATATTCAGTTGCCAAACACCACATACAACTAAGCAGTAACAGTACTGAACTGTGTCCGAGTGGATCTGAGAACAGTACATGAAAGGAAGATTGGAGAAATTGAGAGAAAGCAGGAAAGGAATCTGAGAAAATATTAATTTTCAGTGGGCCGCATATGCATGCGGTGTGATAGACACTAACTCTTTCTCACCTTCTCCTGACTTCTGGAACCTTCTAGGATGGACTTGTGAACCAATTTGTTCATATCACTGAAAGTTTGCAACTCAAAAATTTGTAAGTAGAGCAATGTCTGTATTGGTAGAGTTCCTATCTGTATATCATCACTTAGTACACAATTTCAAAATGTTTTTTTTATACTTAAATACTTCCTGTAAAGTGAAATAGTACTCAAAATGTTCTTTAAGGGCATTGCCTAACTAATTTCCTACTTTTTCATGATAAATTATCTGAAAATAACCATTTACAATCATATCAAGTATTAAAACAGTTTTATTTGTAAATAAATACAGAAATATGAATCTTTGACTTTATATTGTAAAACTACCTTTCCTCATCATAGAATGCAGTCTTTGGTGTAAGCAAGAATACTGCTACATTCCATAATTGTTTTAAAGTCTATTAATGAATTGAAGTTCTATCTTGCAAAGATTTTTAAATTACCTAATTTTCTAAAGTAACAATATATGTAATAGAAAAAGTTGCATTAATTTTACTGCGATACATTTTAATTGACTAGCCATGATTGAGGAACTGACTATTCAATTTATGAATATTTTTATAAATATTCATGGAAGGTTTTTTTTAATAGCCAAGGAGCCATGGCTTCACACTCATTGGATTACAATAGCTTCAGCTCAAAAAATCATAAATACAGAATGTAGCCATAACAAATGGAAACAAATATAGAACATTAAGAACTACTATTTATTGTGAAACACGTACCAAATCAAAGCATACAGTCAACATTATTTTTAACATATAAATGTTTTTCTTACTATCAAATATAACATAATTTTAGTTAGTTCTATCATCTACAGGATTAGGAGTTGCTCATATGCAGTGGCAGACCAAAAAAATTATTTATGTATGATGCAAGAGATATATCATAAGTAGAGAAATGCAAATCACTTAACAGAGTAAGGCTATGATATTTAAACCTTCAAGAAAAGTTCCAAAGTATCATCAAATATACAATTTATAGGATAGACTTTGAAGTAGTATTCTTCTTCCAAAAGAACACGCACCTTTAACAAATCTAATTGGTCCTTCTCTTGCAGCCCTTTATATAGATTATTCCACAGGGTTAAATAAATCTGCAGAGTAAAGTCATATTGCACAAGAATAAATCTATTTCTATAATATTGGGGCTAAGCCAATGGAAGAATAGGTATAAGAAGCTGTAAAAATTCCTACTCTACAGATATTGTTCTCTTAAGAAAAGAAATTAACTGAAGACACAGAAGACTGATATAGAGACCATAGTAACATTGAACTTATAGAAGAGTGCTTAGAAATTTTCTGAAAAATATTGAAATATAAATCCTAGGTAAATGGCAAAGGGCTGACATTGCATTTGCCAATTTATGAAGTAACAATCCAAATTACTTGTCTAAGTTAGTCTTCTTTTTAAAACTAACATTATGCCAAATAAATTGTCAAATAGTTCAGGTTTATGATTAATATTCTTCCAAAGATGGTGTCAGTTAAGTTTACTTGCAGTAGTTTAGTTGGAAGTCCAAGAATATTGACACAAATTCTACTGCATGTCTATCGTATTTATGTTATCTGCATACTCTACTGGCATTGGCAAGTTTGTGTTGGAAAACTGTATTTTTCCTAGATTTTCTTCCTCAAAATATTTTTAGATCTTTATAAATTTCAACTAAAAAGATTACTCTCTCATTTACAAAATGGGAGTGTTTAACTTCTCTTTTTTTTTACAATAACGAAAATAAAAAAAGAAATCTTAGTTATACATACTTCATCAGTGCTTTAATACAGTGTGGGTGATTTTTCCTTCTCAAAATAATTACGATAGGGTAATTTTCATGTTTTCTGGTGCTTGAAATAGTAGAAATATAATAGTATAAACAGAATTGTTCAGACAAACGTCACACATAAGAAAAGACTGAAGCACCTGTTTTTACTTTAAATATGGCAATCTTGTCATGGAAGTATTGATTGGAATGAGTTTTAATACCTATAAGAGAATTTTTATTTTAAAGGTATTTTAATTTTATTTAAAAATAGAAGTAGAAGAAAAGAAAAATGAACACAATGCTGAGCCTTATAAATGTAAAAAGAGTTTTTTCATTGTCTCAAATGAGTTATAAAAGTAGATTCAAAAGACCTACTCTTGGGTCTTGGAAGACCTTGGAACCTTCTGAAAGCTTCAAAAGTATTGGCAGAGAAGAATTCAGAATATGTCAATTATACTTGTTTTCAAACTATTAAAATGTTTAATCGGGTTACAAATGTAATGGAACCTATGTTGGTGGGGAACGAGGTATCTTGGGTGGGAAGGCCATGGGGGGGCCTAGTGTTTCTGACCACACAACGCCTGCCCTGACCCACGGAGATATCTCATACTTCCTGCCCAACCGGGTCATTTACCTTACCTATATCTCGATGATCAAGGAAGCTATCTCCTCTCTAGCCTCTCCATTGCGGTTTTGCCTTGAGCAAAGGCTTGCCAAAGCCTGCAGGGATGAGAGATTGTGTCCCTGTAGGCTCCATCATCTTTGCAAAAAGCCTTTGCTGCTGAGAACAAAGGCTGGGAGGGGCTCCATTCTCGGTGGCAAAGGCCTTGAAGAAAGGCCTTTGCAGTTGTAAATGGAGGCCTGGAGGGATGTGTGTGCCCCTCCTGGACTGTTTTTGGTGGCAAATGTTTTTTGCAAAGGCAAAAGGCTTTGTAAACGGAAGGAAGGCTTCGGTACTTTAGGCTTCCATTCTCTGTGAATGCACTGAAGGCCTGAAGCACCAAAGCAAGCCAAGAAACCAAAGGCTTACTAGATCTTTGCAAGGTGAGTATCCACAGGTCCAGTAACTGTGGAGACCCGGTCCGGGGGGTGGGGTGGGGGATAGACAGGGCGAATATTACAATGCCTCTGCAGTCATTTGTAAAGGTGCTGCAACATTTGTAACTTCAGGACTGTTTCATAAGTACTTGGGGGGATTATGAAGACACTTCAAAAGGTCTCTAAGTGAACTGTCATAACTTGATGATTACCCGTAGATGCCTAAACAAAAAGAATATTCTTCCAATTTCACAAATTGTGCATTTCTCAATTTTAGTTGATCATATCAACATACTGAATTGATCACACATCTCAACAAGCAGGGATCTATACTTAAAAGGTCAGGGTTTTTGTTGTATTATACTGGATCAGAACATATACAGTTATTTTTCCATATAATTTTTAAGCATATTATGATGGTGCAAGAGAAAAACAGAAAAAAACTCTAAAATAGACAAAATATCTACCTACTCACCTATTTTCCCTTTATTTCCTCAGATGATCTCTTTCATTAATATTAAGATATTTCAAGCTGAAATAAATGTAAACAGATTTCACAGCATATCTTTGGAAAATGTCTTTCCTAAACCAATTCAGATTTATGCTGAGGTAGAACTTCGTTTTAGTTTCTTTCCATTCATTACTGAAAGCTGTCCAATGACATAAGCAGTTTTGCTTGATAAATGTAAATTTAACAGCAAAATGCATAGTACTGAAAAAAAAAGTAAGGGAATAAACTTTTTTCACTTTTAGCACCTTTAGGAGTTTATAATGTTTTCTTTTTTATTTTTATTGTGGAAATATTTTCTAGTCCATGCTCCATTTAGGCCCGTGGCATCTATTGCAGTATCAATAAAATCATCTGGTATCAGCCATTTCAGAAACATCAGTAAAAGAAAGCTGAGCATAGCAAAAAGAGCAAAAATGCAACCAGTCACTGGGCCACAATGAGTGATAAGTCTCTCAAGTCGTTTGCCCATTGGCAATACAGTTTCCTTTGCCACTCTGTTGTATACCTGAAGGAAGACAAATACATAAATTAGGTTATTGGGTTTGTTTGCAATATGTAAACTGTATTAACTTAAAGACACTCATTCTTAATCATAAATATATTATAAATGTAACACTAGAATGCTCTAGGGAATATCCTTTGATATATCCAAAGGAGTCAGCTAGAAGAACTCTTTATTTCCCTAATTTTTCAGGTGTTTTCCTAGAATAATCTACGGATTCCTAAAATTTGTCATTCAAGTAATTTTATATATTTCCTATCCATAATATGGTAAGATTTGGCATGTAATCCAAACTGGATTATGATTACAAATGTATGATTATTAAATATAATTATAGAATATAATTACATTTACAAATGAATATGGATAATGAATTAATCAGACCATCATAACTGTCTCCTCAAATCTCTGGAAATAAAACCAGATGTTAGGAACAATCCATAAAAAATAACTTTCACCACAGCAGCATCAACTGGTTATGGTTTTGTGCCACATTATTGGCTTCCAAAGATTATTTTTCCAAAGCAAAGAATTGTGGAAGAAATTTCTCCTACTCATATGCAGTAACTCCAATCTTAATAGGACAGCAAGTAGCTTTTAAAATAAATAAGATATACTGGACAGGTAACCCACAGAAATGAGACTGAAGTATCAGATGGATATGAAGGGATCTGCAAACTGCTGTTGGCAGAAATTTCCCATGTGAGCTAATACACCATTAATAGGTAAATCCCTTGTCTATACTTATTCTGGCACACCGAATTCCCTATATGTAAGATCCTAGCTGGCCACAAGTTAAGTGCATAAAGAAACAATATAATTAAATTTCCACAATGAGATAAACTATTAGAAAACATGAAGATGTTTTTACTACCAAGAGCCTTGGTAGTACAGTGGTTTAATGCACCCTGTTATTAACACAGCTGCCTGCAATTTCTGCAGGTTCGAATCTTACCAGGCTCAAGGTTGACTCAGCCTTCCATCCTTTCTAAGGTAGGTTAAATGAGGACCCAGTTTGTGGGGGCAATAAGCTGACTTTGTATAAATATACAAAAGTATGAAGGCTATTGCTTAACGCATTGTAAGCCGCCCTGAGTCTCCGGAGAAGGGCGGCATATAAATCAAATTAAAAAAAAAAAAATGAATGTAGAGTTTCCAAACAAGAAAGAACACCCACTTTTTCAGTTCTTTTTGCAACATTTCTCCAAGTGTAGAATGTTCTAACTTTGTCATGCATAATTTCTGGAGACAATAATGATCCTGACTTCAGTTGGCTAATAGCCTTTTCCAATCCACTACAGAGGGATTTCACTGAAGGTTCACACAAAATTATAAAATCATCTGGAAGTACTTCAGGAATCCCACCAACTCTTGTACTGACCACCTGAAACAACAGATAAATTATACTCTTGCTAAGCAATTTGTGTCCCCAAAATACAAACACTATACATATAATATATAACCGTTTATGTTTCATAAAAGAGGTCTGTTGTTTTTCTGAATACTATACAAGTTTTTTAATATACTCATAAAACCATTATCTCATTTTTGAACTATTTCCTAACTATAGCTAGCACTATTTTAATATTTTGTTTGTAGTAATCTTTATTTCAATAATTCTGCCTAGTAGTATTGTTATTTATTGTTTTGACTGCATCATATTTATTCTTAATCTGTTTATCCACTCTTCCTCTGTAAACCATTTGGGGGTGGGGGGGAGGAAAGCCAAGTAAAGTGCAAGGATTAGTCCAGGCAGTTGCCGGGAGTCAACCCTGACTTGAAGGCGCACACACACACAAACACACACACACACACACACACACACACACACACACAGAGAGAGAGAGAGAGAGAGAGAGAGAGAGAGAGAGAGAGAGAGAGAGAGAGAAATGGAAAAGAATACAATTGTCATGTGTTCCCATTTCATTTTTTTAAATACAATTTTTATATTTTAGTAGAAGAAAAGTAGAAAAAAGATAAAGAAGAATGTAAAGATTTTGCTTCCAATTTTCTTCACAGCAGTTATAAATGCCTATTTTTCCTTCTGTATAAAATATTTATATTGACAGCCATAAAGCTGTTTTCAGGAAAAACCTGGATTTGTACCTATTCCACATTCTCTATAAGCGGATCTAACATAATGATCTTTGAAATCTACATTGACTTTGGCACAAATATCCATATAGCCAAATATCAGGTCATGTCCTTCTAACTTTTTTATTTAGTTTTTAATTTTCAACAATACCCAAGCAAAACAATGAACTGCAAAATACAGTTTCAGATTAGGTAAACCTAATCCTCTTCTTTTCTTTGCTTTTCATAACATATTTAACTCTTAGCTTTTTCCCTGTCATGCAAATTTAGAGATAACTTTTAGGTCTTATTTAAATGGTCTATCAGTTGTCAAAACAAATAGTATCTGAAATAAAACTAACATTCCAGGCAGAACATTTCTTTTTATCATAGAGATTCTTCCCAATCATGACAAATTTATTTTCTCCCATATTCTCATGTCCTTTTAATTTCATTCCATGTCCTACATACTTATTTTGCAATAATATATAAATATTTGTAATAGTGATACACAAATATTTTATTTTTTTCTCAATCTTAAAACCAGTTTTCTTCATGATTTCTGTTTGATCCTTTATTTTTGTAAGCATTTCTGTCTGCGAATTCTTAATCTTAAAACCTGCTAGCATACTAAATTAATCTGAATTACAGGCTTCTCCCATTTGCTTTTTGTTTTGCCTTTCTTTATCCTTACTACTTAAGTCTCATTGACTCTCCATAATTAGTCATACAATCTGTCTCATATTCATCTTCGTTTTGTCAAATCCACTCACTGTTTCTTTAATATTAAAGAAACAACATTCTACAAAAGTCTAATCTGCATGTTGAGTTAGCTCCAATAGTTTTAAAAGCACTTTTGCCAAAATTAATCTTTCAAAACTACTGTCCTTTTTATCCATTTAAACTTTCTTACACCTTCTTACAAGCTTTACTTTTACATTACTTTTTTCACTTTTATCAGAAACTCACCAAATGATTTTCCCTTATCCTGACATTTGGAAGATCTCTCTTTAACTTTAAATTGATTGTATCTGATAGTGGTTAAGAGAATGAGGCTTTTGCAACTCTAATGTTCATTAAAGGCTGCATTGCAGTTGTGAGCATGGCTGAAATCCCTTGACTTCCAGTCAATCAACCTCACAATTCTTGCGGTATCCTCATGAGTAGCAGCTGTCTGGAGTGCAAGTGAGTAATCTCAGAATCTCTCCTTGTCTAGAGAAAACTCCACTGGCTAGAATTCAATGTCTGGCCACCAATCTCCTACTCCTTCAGGGATGTTTAATTTGTTATTAGATCTCACTATTATATTTTAGAGATATATGCTATAGAAAACACTATAAATATTACTCTTCGCCATTTTTTACTTAAGAATCGTTTTTAATATATACTATTTTATTTCAAACTATGGTAGATGGAAACTTCGCCACTGATGGAGGGCTAAATTTATTTTGCTTACCTATTTGCAGGCACTCTAATCAGCTAACACTGAGAAGTATACAATTTCATAACACATAATAAAGATGTAAAATACATATTAACTTTAAAACAAATTATGTACTATAATAATAATATAAATGCTAACATGGAGAAAGGAACACTCAACAGCAATTTTCCTCTTCAGAAGGAAAATGACAGAGAACTGCCATGTTGAGGGGAGTAGGAGTTAACTAAGAAAGCATGCTTCTTTGGCCCCTAAAGATAGCAATTTCTAATCAAAGATACAAGTAAAAAGCCTGCCATACTTTGATATGGTTTATATCAAGCAAACAGATGTTACTAGGAGAAAGTGATAAGTCTTTAAAGGTGATAATCAGCACTCTGAATTGTGCCCAGAAGCTAACCGGCAAATAATGCAGCTCTTAGCATAGAGGTGTTATGTGGATTCTGTTCTTATTACTGCAGTTTTATTAAATTCTTAAGAAAATGTCCATTTTATTCCTTTGAATAACAATAAGCTTACCTGTAAACCACAACTGGCAGCTTCCACAATTGCCATACAAAATGCTTCTGTGAGAGAGGTGTTAAGAAAAATATGACCTTGAACCAAGACATTTCTAACTTCCTGGTGTTCTAAAGCTCCTAGAAGACGAACTCTATAAAGTTTTGGGAAACAGGTAAAGAAAATATTGATAGAAGTATTCTTATCAATGGAGAAAATCACAGTCTAAATTCAATACTTGCAACTAAACCTGAAACCAATAGAATTGGATTATGAATAAACTACTAATGCTATTAGTATCAAAGAATTTTCAAATTCTTTAATTTCATAAGGAATGTAGCTAAATCAATTCTCAATTTTCTCAACTCTTGACTTCAAAGAACGCTAAAATGCTAAATATTGATTTAGCTATATTGCAACTATTCAATAGTCTACAGAGAAACAAAATAGTGAGTTCTAAGTTCATCCAAACATTATCTCTTATGTCACTGCAGTTCTTAATATTTTTACCAATAATATTTGATTTATTTTCTAAGTAATAAATATTATAAAAAACGATCAGGAGAAACAGCCTTCAAATTTTCTCATTTAAAATAATTTCTATTGATGCTTCATGATTTTTATTTCTGAGTTATTTATGAAGTTATTTCAGTATTAGATCTATATCCCTCTGCATTTTCACACTGAAAATACAAGTAGTCCTTGACTTACAACAGTTCATTTAGTGACGGTTCAAAGTTACAACAGCACTGAAAATGTGACTTATGGCTGTTTTTCACAGCTACGACTTGTGCAGCATCCCCATGATTATGTGATCAAAATTCAGACGGTTGGCAACTGGTTCATACTTATGACCAATGCTGTATCCAAGATCATGTGAACACTTTTTGTGATCTTCTGACAATCAAAGACAATGGCGGAGCAAGATTCACTGGTAACATTTGGGTTACTAACTTATCAACTGCAGTGATTCACTTAATTGTGGCAAGAAAGGTAATAAAATGGGGCAAAACTCACTTAACAAATGTCTCACTTAACAACAGAAGTTTTGGCAGTTGTAAGTCGAGGACTACCTGTATTTAGAAGATATCCTCCTGAACACGAAGATAATTTATAATGATCTAAAAAAAAGAAACATGGCATGATAAACTGTTCCAAATAATCATAAGAAAACAATTAAAAAGTAGCTTATGAATAACCAAAGCCAGGTGATACAGTTCATTTCTCTACTTTTTCCAATAAGACTTGATGTATACTGCCACCAACGAGCAAAGGTTCATGCACAGAAAACACTGCAACATCTCCAAAGAAATATAAATTTATAAAATAATCAAACTCTTTACTAGCTTATTTAAAATTTCCACAATCAAGGTTATAATCTCAGAGCAGCATTTTTGCAGAAAACTAAAACATATTTCCAAGCTAAGTATGAAATAACAGAAAAGCATACAGTAAATGCAACTGATATAAATTGGATTTAGCCATAATTTCTTTTCTGTCCCATGTTTTAAGTTTTTTTACTTACTAGTTCTTATACCTTTTTTACACTTTTCAAATGGATTAAATAAGATGATAGGTATGCATGTGTAAACAAAACAATATTATCCATTGTGTAAAATCATCATCCTATTCCTTTCTTCATTTCCCTGCTAAATCTTCAATTAATTTAGCTATATTAAATGCAATGCAGAAAACATACCTCTCATGTAGTTGATATCTTTCCCGCACTTCTTCTAATACAATTCTTTTTGGTCCTTCTCCTCCAACTAAGAAATGTAAATCTGGATACTTCTGACATAGCTCAGGAATTATACCACTAAGTAAATCAATACCTAAAGGAAAAATATTTATTTAGTTTTATATATAATGATTTATTAAGCAGTAATCTTTTTATGAATCATTTCACCACTGCTTAGTTTTCAGAATTTCAAAACCAAAGTACAATTTTTCAAGTTTTAGACACTTTAATAATTTACTAAACCCATATTATAATAATATTGCATGGTTTTTGAAAAAGCTACTTACAACCCTTTCTGAAAATTGATTCTCATACCACCACCACCCCTTGCAGTTATGATTGCATTTTCAGTGCTTGGCAACCAACTTGCAATTATGACCAGTTGCAATATCCTGGTGTCATGAAAGTGTAGTATGGCAACTTTGTTTTCTGGCATAAAATGCTAATCAGATATGCTGATTTTGCTCAATGACCACATGATTTGCTTAATGACCGAGATGGTTTGTTCTATAACTATTGTAAAAAAAAGTCATAAAATTGAGTCACATAACATAGTGACCCGCTGAACTGTAACAAGGTATGAGCAAAATTCTGAGCTCAAGGGTATACAACCTACTCTTTTTATAAAAAAAACTATTATTTTCAATAATACTCTTCATTTCATTTAGAATTAAATAAAAACCCTAAAGCTCCAGATTAATGGCTGGCAATCTTTAAGGTAAAAAGTACTACTTTATATTTAAAAAGAAAGAAAGCATTTACCATTTAAACACTTAAAATGACCATAATATCAAGAATGTCATGCAAGAGGGGTTTCCGATTGACATTGCGATGGGATTGGACATATGGTGCGGGCTATGGTGGGATTCAAGTAATTTAACAACCGGTTCTCTCCCTAATGATTTCTTCCAACAACCAATTTGCCAAACTGCTCAGAAAGTTAACAACTGGTTCTCCCGAAGTGGTGTGAAGTAGTTGAATCCCACCACTGGGAGCAGGTCTCTTCCTGTTTGTGGGTTCTGGAGGGAGCTAAAGCCACCTTGTGGGGGGGGGGTGAAGCAAAGAGGGGCATCCTGCGAGGTCAAAGACAGTCGCACCTTTCCTGTCTGGCCCGGGGTTCTTTTTCCCTCTCAGCCATGGCAAGAAGAAGCAGCAGCTACAGATGGTTGCCATGAAGCTGGGACAACTGAAGAATAACTAAGACTGGTGCTGGAGAGAAGTAGGTGAACGGTATTGGAACTGGGGGAGAGAATTTTTCTTTTGATCTAAATTTAACCCCAAGAAACAATCTAGAGCTACTTGCTCAGAACTATGTGTTAAAGCGGCATTTAAGCATTTTGGGTATGACCGGAAATGAAGGTGCAGGAGAGTAAAATAATAGATTTTGAAATAAATAGAAAATTGGACTCCTAAATTTGGAAGACGTGGTACTGGGAAGGCATTTTAAATGCTGGAATAATTTACTTAAAAAATTTATTCTACTTTTATAACTGTTTTATAACCAAAATGATGGTGGACAATGGATTAGTAAATTGAAATTTAAGTGGAGAGTGCCACCTGCTGACGAAAGGAAAAATTTACAAATCTGGGAATACTTATATGAAGAACAGTGAAAATGCCCATTGGATTACTTTAGCTACCCTATGACTACTGAAACCCAAATGTGAAAATGAGGAAGCTATTCAATTGAAGAGATACTTGAATGTTATACTAGAATATTGAATGTGTAAAGGAGACATAAAAGGGCTTTTGATAATCTCTGGGACTACTTAAATGGAACTGATTGTTAACCTATGGGACATAAAGAATGGGGAGTAGTGCACTCCTTGAAGGGTAACTTAAAGACTGAATAAATAGTTCTTGGACTGCTGGATACAAATTGAATTTTTAAAAATAAAACAAGATACTTAAGAAGGAAGAAATGAGTGAAATTGTGAAGGAGATGGACTTACTTTTTCAAAATACAAAAGACATCATATAGAAAGGATTAAAGGAGATTATGGAAAAAATGGAAAATACCATACAAGGGATGATGAGCAAGGACCAAGACCCCCAGGAAAGGGAGGAGTCAACAGAAGAAATGAAGAAGGAAGAAGACAAAGAGGAAACAATGAAAATAATAGTGATTGGTGAATTAAACCAGGGGGGGAAATATATTAAGAGAGTAGGAAGATATGTCTGAAAGGAAGATAGAGGCATGGGTAGAAATGTTAGAAATTAGGCAGTGGATGAGGGTAGAGGTAGGAGGAATACCTATATTGAACATCCAAGAAGCAGACAGAGACAGAGACAGAGATTTAAGAGAGGAATTTGGGAGGCAAGTAAAAAAAAAAAGCATAGCAAAATATTGAAGCAGGCAAGAGATGATGGATAGATGATTTTTGTTGTTGTTTTGATATGCTTTTCCTTTTTCCTATCTTTCTTTTAAAGCATAGCAATTGAAGTATTGAAGTGGGCAAGAGATGATGGATGGATGATTTCTCTTTTTTGTTGTTCTGAATTGCTTTTCCCTTTCTCTCTCTTTTCCTTTTTTTTCTTTTTTTTTTAGATGGGTAACATGATTAGAAGTTAGATAGGAAAGAAAGAAAAAGTCTCTTAATAAAGGGTGATATGATTAAAAGCTAGAATAAGTGATAGAAATAAGAGAAGGGGAATATTAGTGTATACATTTTTATATCATAAAATGAAAGCATGTGAAATAATTGAACAATGATAGACTATGACTTAATACAAGTGTGTATTATTATTAGAAATATATTAGTGGATTGAATATAATGATTATGATTAATCTGATTAGTTTTATTTGTATTAGACTGTATGACACCCTGGTGCCACACTGTTCATGCCTTGATTTGATACCTTTATAAAAAAATAAAAAAAGAATGTCATGCAAGAGATCATTTTAATTTTGGAAGTCAGTGGTTACCTTTTAATTATTTGGGATGTCATGTTGCCAATCCCAGTCCAGCACATTGTGAAACATTATGTGCCAGTGGTTCTCAACCTTTTCTTTACCACAGACTCCCTTTAAATAACATTCTGACTCAAGATTTAAATAACATTTCTTCAAGTCTTCACGGACCATAGGTAATCACTGTTATATGCAGTGTCCAGAGCTCCCCTGAACATTGTCACTAAACTGTAATTTTAATGCAATAACAAGGAAAATATATTATACAAGGAATAATTCTTCATCATTTTTAATTAATTTAATTTACTCTTAATTTTTATTATATTCAATTATATTCTGACCTAGCACTAGCCATTTTTGGAAAGTAACACTGGCACATCAAAAAAGAGTATATTCTTGAAGAACATTCAGCCATATACATCTACCAATTTATTTTCAATCACAAGCTTGTAATTTTCAATCACAAACTTGTAATTTTCAATCATTAGCTTGACAAAGGTATTGGTACAAGATTATCTAGTGAATTTTATTACTTGGTCTATTTTCTTGGTCCTAAACTAAAATCTCCAAAAGAATAGGATATTCATTCAAAACCTGGTTATACCAATCTTGAAAAACATGCCTGTAGAAATTTTTGACTGAAACAATCTTTTTTAAGAAAAAAAAATCATTAAACATCTATTTCTTATTGTCGTTTTGGTACAAGAATGCCCACATCCAGAAATTTACAGCTATTACTGCAAATTTACAATTCAGCAAGAGGCTGCCAGAATTTCTTACATTTAAATTACGGTACATTTAAGACCTTTGCTTAAAATTTAAAGACCATGCAAAGTAACACCATCTCTTTCCTCCCTCCCTCTCCCTCAAGTTGGTTACAGTCCATCCAATTTATAGATTCAATCCATGTCACACTACATATTAATCCAGAATTAAATTACATCTGTCATGGGTCTAAAATCAAGTTCAGATAAGACAGAAACTTCTTAGGGCTTTAAAATATTACTCCTTATGTCATGCAAAAGATTTAATTATATATGCAAAACCAGTAATTTCTGATCCATACACATTTAAAAAAAACATTTAAATACATCTTACCCTTCAAACCTTATTACCTTTTCTATATACAAGTCTGCTAACCACAACAATAGTTATTGTATTGTTGTCACGTTTAGATGCATCTGGAGTGAAGTCAGTAGGATCAACAGCATTAGGGATGACAGAAACTATTTCTGGATTAAGTGCTGCTCTTAATACAGTATTCTCTTTGCTTGTGTAAGAAACACATATTATGTGGTTTGTATCACATAGTGATACAGTCAAGAGTTTATTTGTAAGCACCGAACTGACATCAGCAAATCCAAAAAGTGAATGATCTGTAAAAATTGTCCGTAGCTGCATTGTCTTAGCATGAAACAGTGCATCATGAGCCATAGAAGAAAATGAACTATGTGCATGGACAATTGTGATTCTTTCTCGAATAAATATGTACCTGAGCAGAGGCAGACTGTGAAAAAGAGTAGTGGCTGTAGATTGGTTGTACATTACTCTTAACGGTAAATAGTAGACTTTTAGTCCATTGGTGAGGTATCGAATGCCTTTTCGATCATAATAAGCATGAGTGACTACAATAACTTTGTGTCCTCTTTCAATTAGGCACTGCGACAACTGGTAAATATGGCTTTCCACTCCACCCATGTTTGGGTAAAAAAAGTCAGACACCATACATATTCTATGAACTTGACTGGCACATGCTGGAGACTTATGAGAATTCATAGCTGAAATGATGGAAGACAGAAGCTGTTCTTGAGTTCCTTCGCTTCTACAGGCCATATTAGTTAATCATTAGTCCACGTAAACACCATTCACTTTGAAAAGGAAATTCCTAGATGCAGAAAAATGCACACATTAAGACAAGAAGTGTTTCACTATAGGAATTATCATTTTGAAAGGAATAACATTTTATAATGCAATCCTACACATAATTACACAATCAAGTACAGGTAGTTCTCGAGTTACAACAGTTCATTCAGTGATTGTTTGAAGTTAACAACGGCACTGAAAAAAGTTGACTAGTGACTGTTTTTCACACTTAAAACCATTGCAGCATACCCACGGTCTCATGATCAAAATTCAGATGCTTGGCAATTGGTTCATTCTTATGACATTTGCTCTGTCCCAGGTCATGTGATCACCTTTTGAAACCTTTGGACAAGCAAAATCAATGGGGAATCCAGACTCACTTATCAACCATGTTACTAAATTATCAACCACAATGATTCACTTAACAACTGTGGCAAGAAAGATCCTAAAATGGGCCAAAATTCACTTAACAAATGTCTCACTTAGCAACAGAAATGCTGGTCTCAATTGCGATGATAATTCGAGGACTACTTGTACAGTCATATCTGCAAGTATGATATGGATTGCAGGAATAGCTGGAATACAATGAATAACTCTTCTGTCTTCTGCTGAAAATCATACACCTATGAACTAAAATGAAGCTGTAGAAGCACTCTATTCAATGTGGCTCATTCAGACAGGGTTACCCAAATTAAGGCAGGCCTCTGGAGTACACGCCTATGATAAAATTGGAACACGAAAGCCAAGCTATATTTCAGACTAGATTCTAGAACGTTGGGCAAGCCCGATCATTTATGTATTTAGCGTACATTCACCGTGCTGTGCTAACCTCAGAGAAGAAAAGAAAAGAAAAGAATGGGTAAAGGTATTACACAAAGGCAATTTAAGAACGGCTCCACAGAACACTGCGACTGTTAACTCTCGTGGAATCCCGGTTTCGTCAGCGAAGCGATCCCCCTTTCCGACCAGCACGGAAGGAATCCCCTTGAGTTCCCCTGTCCCAATCGGAAAGGGAATGAAAAGGCGCATACCGTTCTTGCCCGCAACCGAGTCGTTTCAACAGAAAACGAAACTCCTGGCGATGCAAACCACTCCTATGGCGACAGCTCCAATCTTTGTCAGTCACTCACATACAATTACATCCTGACACTTCTAAACCCAATCAAAGTCCACAACGCAATTCAGGAGTCACTGTAGGCGGGAACTTTGGGAGTCAGGCGCTTTTTTTTTCTCCTCTCAGAGTTGTCACCTCAACCAACCGTCTATCCCACCTCCCACTTGCCCTTCGTGAATGGTCTTCATAGCACGCGCAAAAAGTAACCAGTCATAAGCCTCTGCTGGATCACGTGGGCAGTGAAAACCAATCTTTGAAAAGATATTTTGGAAGGAATCTTTGGTATGTAATTATCGCCATTGGCTGGCCGGGACTTTCCTTACACGCCAAAGGAACTTCCTTTTCTTATTGGAGGTGTAGCATTCCAGCATAGATCAACGTTTTCAAAGAGGTTGTTTCTCTTTAGCCTTCCTTGCTCTTTTCCTATCAAATTGCAATCTAAAACTTTTTATTCTACCGAGACTTCTCCTTTCTACGTGCTTTAGGGTCATATCTATGATATTAACCGTTAATTAGCCTGAGGAAAAAAGTCCTGTCGCTTGCTGGGAAATCTGATATGGTTGCTTAATTTTTTTTCTCTTGCCTTTTTAGCAGCATCCGGATGTGGCATCCTGTAGAAAAGATAGGTCGACTTGAATAGCCAGTTTCCCCGTTCTATCAGAGGCTGATAGCTGACGAGCTTTAAAAGCTCAATTTGTGTAAAGAAGAGGCAGGAAATAAAGGTAATAAAAAGGTGTATTGTCATAAAGTTCTAAGTCCAAATTGAGAAATGGTTCCAGACAATACATACAGCCTAGTTTGTGTATTAATTAAAAATTGTGTTTAGCAATTTTTAAAATTTATTTCAGTTCCATGTTGAACTTTAAAAAAAAATAACAATAGGAATGCTATTTTCTGCTTTAGCATGAAAGGAATTGCAAACATTGTGGTTATTATTTTTTAGTGTTGGTAAAATGAAATGATTTTGTTTGGACCTTTGGCACATGATAATTTGTGGATTATATTTCTTTTTTGATAAATTGCATAATTTTTATTTCTGAATATAAACTTTATTCCCCATTCAAAGAAGTGAAATGGATGGCCATATAAATTATTTAAAGTATAGACCACTTCAAAAAATAAAAATAAAAATTGAACACTGCAATACAAAAGATATTGCAGTATTCCTTCCCGAATACTCTCTGAAATGATTGTAATATCATAGTTCTATTAGTCTGCAATTTTCATATTTTTTGTTTATTGTCAATTTTTTTGTATGTGTGTTAGCACCAGATTTCTAAAACAAGAGATCCCATATCTGGGCTGCAAATATTCAGATGACCACTAAGTGGCAACATATGTTAAGAGTTTTCTCCCTGTCTTTGCTGCCATACATTACAGTAGTCATCCAGATTGTTGTGGATTAGGTAGAATAAATAGCCTTTCTCAAAACTTCTTAAAATTCATCTTTGTTCCTCAAATTACTAGATTATTTTCTCACCATTTTTTTCCTTTCTTTGTCATTTTATAGGTCACAACAATTTTATCTAAACAAATTCTTCCATTTGAGGGACTGGAAAGCTGGGGGGTGGGTGATAAAAGAAAGCAGAAGGGTGCAACATCTGAGCTGATGCTGGATTCTGATAAAGGAAATATTTATATTGTTAGATATTAGTTTTGTGCCTTGAGAATCTCCCTGCTTACAGGAAGAGACTCCTGTGTTTTGAAAAGAGGAACAAAAGATATGGGTGTCAGGCTTCCCCAATCCAATATTGGAATTTAGACCCAGAGATGTAAGGATATGGCTTTTGATAAGACAGTTGTTTTACAGATACTAGAAATTCTGTTAGTACAAAGAAAGCAACTGTAAACTAATAGTCATACAGACATACTTAAGGTAAAGTTTTAACTCTTTCCAACCCATATGGGCAGCCATTAAATGAGGAGAGGGGAATCTCTTCAGTGTTATTATTATTGGTTTTAGAATATATGCTTATGACTCATCTAAACCAGTTATCATACCAGGACCAGGCTACAGAACTCTTGACTTACTTATTTAATTTATATGCTTCCCATCTCAGTCAAACGACTCTGGGGGACTTCACACTACAAAAGTTGGGACAAGGTACTAAGTAAGGAACTTCCTTTCTTCAGTAAAAAAAAAAAATCCTTTTTCAATGTATAGTGAAATAAGATAGTGAAATTGGGTAGTGGTCTTTCTCCTTTTTGTGCCAGTTAGCTAAATAGAGGAAACAGACTTGTTCAAAAGTATGGTAGTCTCCATCTCAGGAGCAAGGTATTCTGCAGCTTTAATTTTCTTTTGGCTGGAGCACAGCCATGATGGATATACATAATGTATATATATTTCGAGGACAACGTATAAAAGGAATTTTTCTTACCAAAAGAACTTTCCAAAACGTATACAATCTATTTTCTTTCTAGATTTCCCTCAAGCAATTTCCCCAGTTGACTAATTTTTATAAACATGATGATAAACTCTACAAATATATTCTTCAGCAAATTATTATCTTAAACAACCTTGGTAGTTTGTGTTGCTTTTCAGAATTCTTAAGCTGTTTCTTTAACATTCAAATATTACTTTTAATTACAGATTTCAGCTGACATCAGACCATCAACTATTTGATCAAACTAAATATTCATTTAAATCAAAGTCTACATTTTAATACTGTTTATCTTGAGGAATCTATTTCCCAGATTCCAATTCAGGAATGCACTTTATCACATTGTTTCACACACTGCATCACTGAAAAATATAATGCATATATAACTGTCCTTTCCCTGTTCCTAGGTTTTCAAATTCATTTAATTCCTTGAATAAGTAATTTTTGTTGTTATTGTTAATTGTGAAGTCGTGTCCGACCCATTGCAACCCCATGGACAATGTTCCTCCAGGCCTTCCTGTCCTCTACCATCCTCTGGAGTCCATTAAAGCTCACGCCTACTGCTTTAGTGACTTCATCCAGCCACCTCGTTCTCTGCCATCCCATTCTTCTTTTGCCCTCCATCTTTCCCAGCATTAGGCTCTTCTCCAGTAAGTCCTTCCTTCTCATTAGATGCTCAAAGTATTTGACTTTCATCTTCATGATCTGGCCTTCTAAAGAGCAGTCAGGGTTATCTCCTCTAGGACCGTCCAGTTTGATCACCTTGCAGTCCAAGGGACTCGCAGGAGTCCTCTCCAGCACCATAGTCCAAAGGCCTCAATTCTTTACCGCTTAGCCTTTCTTATGGTCCAACTTTCACAGCCATACATTGCAACTGGGAAAACCATAGCCTTGACTATACGCAGGGTGGGCAGGGTGATGTCTCTGCTTTTTAGTATGCTGTCTAGATTTGCCATAGCTTTCCTCCCCAGGAACAAGCATCTTTTAATTTCTTGGCTATAGTCCCCATCTGCGGTGATCTTGGAGCCCAGGAAAATAAAATCTGTCACTATCTCAATTTCTTCCCCATCTATTTGCCAGGAATTGAGAGGGCCAGATGCCATGATCTTAGTTTTTTTAATGTTGAGTTTCAAGCCAACTTTTGCACTCTCCTTCTTCACCCGCATCAAGAGGCTCTTTAGTTCCTCTTCACTTTCTGCCATTAAAGTGGTATCATCTATATATCTGAGGTAGTTGATATTTCTCCCGACAATCTTAATTCCAGCTTTTGATTCATCTAGCCCCGTCTTTCTCATGATGTGCTCTGCATATAAGATAAATAGGCAGGGCGATAGTATATAGCCTTGCTGAACTCCTTTCCCAATTTTGAATCAATTAGTGGTTCCGTGTCCAGTTCTCACTGTTGCTTCTTGACCCGCATATAGGTTTCTCAAGAGACAAATAAGATGTCTGGTACGCCCATCTCTTTGAGAACTTGCCACAATTTGTTGTGATCCACACAATCAAAGGTTTTAGCATAGTGAATGAAGAAGAAGTAGATATTTTTCTGGAACTCCCTAGCTTTCTCCATGATTCAGTGTATGTTGGCAATTTGATCTCTAGTTACTCTGCCTCTTCGAAATCCTGCCTGTACTTCTGGTAGTTCTCAATCCACATACTGCTGAAGCCTAGCTTGTAGGATTTTAAGCATAACCTTACTAGTATGTGAAATGAGTGCAAAGCTGCAATAATTTGAACATTCTTTGGCATTGCCTTTCTTTGGAATTGGAATGTAAACTGACCTTTTCCAATACTGTGGCCACTGTTGGGTTTTCCAAATTTGCTGGCAAATTTAGTGTAGCACTTTTACTGCATCATCTTTTAAGATTTTGAATAGTTCAGCTGGAATACTATTACCACCACTAGCTTTGTTGTTACTCAGATTTCCTAAGGCCCATTTGACTTCACATTCTAGGATGTCTGGCTTGAGGTCAGTGACCAACGTGGTTATCAGGGATGTTAATAAGGAATAGTCTTAGATAATCCAGAACTTCTTTCTGTCCAGATGGCTGAAAGTCTTTTGTGCCCCTTATTTTTTATTTTTTTTTGAAAGCCAGCAATAGAGACTGGATGATAGTATAATTATATAAAATATTCAAATTCTTATAATAGTTTTTTCCACTGAGCAGTGGCCAGCATATTTTATCTCCAAATATTTATGGAGTTTGTTCAGAAGTATGTTACTATAGAAATGCTAAGAACTGAAGCTGTTGTTTTATTATGCCTGTTATTATCAGCAGCCTACAGTCCCAAGATTCTCCATTGTAGCTTTTTATTTTTGTAATTTTTTTATCCAGCTGCTCCCCATGTGTTTGATTCCTTCTGTTCTCTCTGCCACTTAGCACTTTATTTCTGCCATTTTGGTAAACTGACAAAACAGGGATACAAGAAAAAGAATTTCACAAGCATTCAGGCAGACTGTTCAAAAGGCTTCCACAAGAACACTGTTCCATGCTCTTATCAGCAGACTAATGATACAGTCATTCCCAGGTCTATGGAGTATCGAAGGATGTTGAAATGCTCTGATATTGTTTTGGTCCTAATTTAAAACTTAATTATTCATTAATTCTTTTGCTCAAAGTTTGTCTAATTTGTCCTATGTGGAACATTGCTTGCTGGTTATGTTAGATAAATTATAATGGTATATTTCCAAATGTTTATTTGGAAGTCAGTGAAATCCATTCAATTACATCCTACTTAACTGTCCCATTAGCAGCAAGCTACCATCATATAAACACTATATTTATATTTGTATAACAATAAGCAATTTTAAACACATAAGCATGTTGTTATCAAAGCATGGGTGGTGTTAGGATTGAATTTGCATATAGATTAGGCTGAAGATAACTTATCTGCATTAAGAAATACTCATTTAAAAGCGACCTCTTTTGCCTTCCTTCCCCTTGCAAAAAAGTATTGCATACTTTCTGGTATGCAAATTGTCCCCAATTATGACTGTACTTTCCTGTTGTGAATTATCTTTAAGAAATTGTGGATATTGTGCTGAGACTACATTACAGTTGTTTTGATCTTTGTCTCTTTCTTTCTCTTTTCTCTGGAAAGGCTAGAATAAACTGGGACTGACATCTCACTCTGCTGCCCAGAGGTATTATGCAGGCAAGCATATGAAAGGAGGGAGGCAGTTGCTTGAGTTTAAGTTGTCTTTTCTCTCCTCACTCATTCTCTGAATATTCTCCCCAGGAAGTCTGCAAATGCAGCAGCTACAAGAGAAAGAGGAGGGGTAAACGAGGCTCCAATTGCAGGAATAGGCCCTCCCTGCCAAGCCGTCACTGCCGGCAGCCGCCCTTCCTGGTTTTGCAAAAAATTTAGCCGATCCAATCTTTTTCGGCAGCTGCCCTGCAGGCACAAAGAAAGAAGCCTGGAATCTCCCATTTTCTTTCTTTTGTCTCATGGAATATGCCAGCTCACCAACTTTGTGGCCCTACTGCTGCTCCATGGAAGACATCTGTTGAACTGAACTGGGCCAGACTAGTTAAGGCTGCTGCCAACAGCACTATTGATACAAAGCCAGGGCCTTTTGTCTCCAATCCATCCAAAGCACCGTCAGTGGCAATAGCATAGTCAGCCTCAAATTTCTGCTGCCACCACCTGAGATACCAGGTCATGTTTCCACAGCCCCTGTTCCTTTAGTGATAAGAACTAAAGAGATGGGGGTGTCTTCGGTGCGTCGGACGACCTTGTCTGTCAAGAATCGTTCTCGTGGTACTGGTAACTCTATGCTGCTGCCTTCCATGTTGATGTTTGGTGTAATTGTGGCATCTAGTGGCTTACTCCTCATGATTGAGAAGGGAATTTTGGCTGAGATAAAGCCTCCACCCCTCCACCCCTCTGCTAAAGAAATGTTTTGGAGAACTGGCAGTAGGAGATCAGGAGGAGATACGGATTATCAAGTGCTGCAGGACATCCGAAATAGGACAATCCATACCATTTGCAGACAAAAAAACATGCCTCGCACCATTTGGGATCTATCAGCAGGCCAGAGGAGGACAGTGCTCAAGCATATCCTGGTTAGTGATAAACATCGCTTTTTATACTGTTATGTTCCCAAAGTGGCTTGCTCCAACTGGAAACGAATTTTGAAAGTTTTAGATGGCACGCTGGAGAATGTAGATGTTAAACTTAAGATGGATCATAAAAAGGATTTAGTTTTTTTAAATGACATGAAACCAGATGAGATTCGTTATCGATTAAACCACTATTTCAAATTTGTGTTTGTCAGAGACCCAATGGAAAGACTTTTGTCTGCTTACAGGAATAAATTTGGTGAGATTAAAGAATATCAGTTAAAATATGGTATAGAAATAGTCAAAAGGTATAGGAAAAACCCTGGAAAAACCCTGGGTGATGATGTCACCTTTTCTGAATTTGTCCGGTATCTCATAGATGAAGAAATAGAAAAAATGAATGAACATTGGATGCCAATTTACAACCTGTGTCAACCCTGTGCTATAAAGTATGATTTCATAGGATCCTATGGGAGACTTGAAGAAGATGCCAATTTTGTTCTTGAAAGGATACAAGCACCATCCTTTATACATTTCCCAGAAAGGCAAGCATGGTATAAGCCTGTAAGTTCGGAAACTCTGCATTATTACATGTGTAATACTCCAAGAGAACTTATAAAAGAGCTATTACCAAAATACATTCTGGATTTTTCTTTATTTGCATATTCCCTTCCAAATGTTACTAGTCAGTTTTGCCGACAATGAAAGTTTCTTTTGTGAAGCAAACTGTATCCTATGCAATTTTTCTAATTTCATGGTTTCCTTTTAATACTTTTGATAACATCAGCTTACTATACATGCCATCTTTTAAAAAATAGCTTTAAATTTTATATATATACCGTTGAACTAAGCACAGCATGATTATTTGAAGAGTGTTACTTTTGGGTACATTAGAAACAAGGCATTTTTGTAATTCCAAAATAGCAACTGTAGGACAGTAAGTTTTAAGAAGTTTGTAAACTGGGGGGGGGGGATGGGATATAAAGCAATAGCAAAAACTAGTACAGAGGAATCAGAAAAACCTGCTGTGTGTGCACCATTTCACTTTTATTGATACAAATGTGAAGGCAGCCGTTTCGCACAATATTGCATTAAAGTACAATAACAGGACTTTTAAGATAGCTAATGTAGCTATTAAGGCAGATAGCAGCCCTAATATTTTTGAAAGCAAGTCACATACTGTTTGTTAGACATACTTCCATATAACAAGTAGATCAGGATTTAAAATAAATACAATTTACATAATTGCTTAAAATATTTATCAAAGCTTATATGAGCACTGAAATATAGGAAAGGCCATTAATAAAATTGGGTTGAAATGATCAGCAAAATTTGATTATCTAAAATGCTTCACAATGTTTTGAAGGGAAGAGTAGGAAGGGTGAAAGTATGAGTTTGTATATGCAATTCAAATGTGTAGCTATATGTACTTTATGTTCCCATAATGGACATTGTATTTTTCTTAGTATGATAGTTTTGTAGGCTACCATGACTTTTTTATTTCCTTATTGAATGTAAAGTTGTTTGTGCTTTATTTGTGAAAGAAAATACCTTTTGTAATCTTATCTCAGGATTTACTTCTTGTAAACTGTTACAATTTTAGCAGCCTGGTTATTCAGATCACCTGTTAAATCATCTGTTAAATTCTGATTATCTACCTGAATCCTTGATATGATCATTTCATTCCCTAGAAAGAATAAAGCAATTTACACGACTTGCATGTTGGACAGTATGTATATATGCATCACTGAACTGTTTTTACCACAGAAACAAGACTATTGTCAGATACAATAGTAGAGGATACTGTATCATATAATATTCAATATTTTGTGCACAGACTGGAGGACTCCCATCTTTTGCTTCAAACATGAAAAAGTCTTAAGATTAACAAACTCAATAGCTTTAATTTTGAGATGATTATACTTTTTCCATTAAAAAAAGTGTATTTACTTGGAATTGTATTTTGCCTTTTACTATGAATTTTTAAAGTAAAAAATAAAAAACCTAACATAATTTGAAAGGAGATTCTTCTTTCCTTTGTTCAACTAGTTGTGTTTAGATTAAATAAGCTATGTGTTAAAATGGGTGTGGAATATGCCTAGTTCACTGAACCATTGGTGGTTGACAGCATAAGTCCACCCATGTCTTAAATCCTTGGGGAAAAGGCATCACTTAACTATCCATGCACAACTGAGAAAAGCTGTGAAAACTGAAAAAGTGACAAAAAATGACACTGATTTAACCCTACAAGATTTGTATGCTCGTTTCCTTTGATTACACAATTTCATCTCTCAAGGCTCCAGAAGTTGTTTCCTCTAGTAGTGCGTACCTTTTGGATGAGGTTCTTCCTGAAATTTTGATGAAACTCATTCAATTGTTTAGAAGAGCCATTAAGAGCTGCAAGGTATGCTTGCCACCTTTTTAAAAGTTTATTGTAATCTGATTGTGAAATAAATTGTTTCAATTTCTACCCTCAAAACAACACTATAGGGCACTGCACACCAGAACTACTAGACACAAGGGCACTTTTTTCCCAAATGCAATTACTCTGCTAAACAACTAATTCCCACAACACTGTCAAAGTATTTATTAAGATGTATTACTATTATTATTCTCATCCTTCCTATTACCTATCTCCTCCCACTGATGACTATAACCTTGTTGCTTGTATCTCTACGATTTATAGTTTTGTTTCCTAGGATTTGATTGCTTATTTAGTAACCTATGATTATCACTAAGCGTTGTATCTTATGATTCTTGAAGAATGTATTTTTTATGTACACTGAGAGCATATCACCAAAGACAAATTCCTTGTGTGTCCAATCACACTTGGCCAATAAAGAATTCTATTCTATTCTACAGGTAAAGGTTCCCCTCGCATATATGTGTTAGTCATTCCCATCTCTAGGAGGCGGTGCTCATCTCTGTTTCAAAGCCGAAGAGCCAGTACTGTCCGAAGACATCTATTCTAAATGCTAAATGTCTTTGGGAATCAGAGGCTATGCAAAATAAATAAATAAAAAGGCTTTCATATCATCTTCTCTTGATACTATTGGTCACATTAGCTATATATTGCCATTAGGATCATAAGTAGCATAGCTGAATTATTATTATTTTTTTATTTATTTTTTTATTTATTGCGATTTATATGCCGCCTTTCTCCCTAGGGACTCAAGGCGGCTTACAAAATGACAACTTCAATACAAATCACAATACAATACCGAATTAAAATCAGTAACCCAATTAAAAAACGATTTAAAATTATACCAGTGTACCCCCAAATGGATCAGTTTAATTGGCGGTAGAGCCACGTCTTCAGCTCGCGACGGAAGGAAAGAAGGTCGGGGGCTGTCCTGAGCTCAGTGGGCAATCCATTCCAGAGGGTCGGGGCTCCCAGAGAATGCCCTCCCCCTGGGAGTCATCAGCCGACATTGTTTGGCCAACGGCACCCTGAGGAGGCCGACACTGTGAGAGCGCACAGGACGATGGGAGAACGGCTGGAGATGGTCCTGCAAGTACCCCGGGCCTAAGCCATGAAGGGCTTTATAGGTGAGCACCAGCACCTTGAAACAGATCCGGAGTGCCACCAGTGCAGCTCACGCAGGAGAGGTGTTACACGGGAGTATCTAGACGCCCCCGTAACTACCCGCGCGGCTGCATTTTGGACTAGCTGAAGCCTCTGGACACATCCCAAGGGCAGCCCCATGTAGAGGGTGTTACAGTAGTCCAACCTAGAGGTAACAAGGGCGTGAGTGACCGTGGCGAGGGCATCCCGGTCTAGGAACGGGCACAACTGGTGCACAAGACGGACCTGTGCGAAGGCCCCCCTGTTTACAGCTGTCAGATGGTCATCTAAAGACAGCTGAGAATCCAGGAGGACACCCAAGTTGCGGACCCTATCGGAGGGAGCAAAGGTTTCACCTCCGATCATTAAGGATGGAACCTCCAGATCCCGGGATGCCGGCATCCACAGCCACTCAGTCTTGGAAGGGTTGAGTCTAAGCCTGTTCCTCCCCATCCAAACCCGCACCGCTTCCAGGCAGTGGGACATCACGGAAAGGGCATCCCTAGGGTGGTCAGGGGTGGAAATGTAAAGCTGGGTATCTTCAGCATATTGATGATACCTCACCCCAAAACCACGGATGATCTCACCCAGTGGTTTCATATAGATATTAAAGAGCAGAGGAGAGAGAACCGAGCCCTGAGGCACCCCACAAGTGAGAGGCCTCTGGGAGGATCCCTGACCCCCCGCCCAAACAGACTACAGACGGCCCGAGAGATAGGAAGAGAACCACTGTAAAACAGTGCCTCCTAACCCTATCCCCCTGAGCCGCTGCAGCAGGATACCATGGTCGATAGTATCGAACGCCGCTGAGAGGTCAAGAAGGACCAGGATGGAGGAGCAACCCCCATCCCTGGCCCGCCAGAGATCATGGTGGAATGATGGTGGACAATGGTGGACATGATCAGATAGATGCTTTATGTTGTTTTTTGAAATCATTTGAATGCATTAAACATTCTATAAAATTGGTACTTTATACTTTTTGTAAACATTAATTTATGCTCCAATTACCTGATAAAACAGGACCATCCTTAAAGTCAAATAAGATATTGTCTCCGTCATAGTAAATGATTTTTAAAGAATAGTTTCATATCTTTATTTATGATCATTATAAGCTTGATCTGGGTGAGTTACAAATTATATAAATAAAACATGTTCAAATAAATAATATTGTCTACAAGAGAGAATATTTATATAAATAATATTGAGCAATAGCCATAAACAGCAGATCTAAACTTTGTGAGGCAGTGATGAAATTGGGAAATCCGTGTAAAATATATTACATATAAACAGTCAAAAGATATTAAGCTCTTGGCAACTTACCTTTTAAATAACAACTCAGCTCAGATAGGAAACCTAGGAGGAAACATTTCAAATTATTCAAGGAGATACCACCTTAATGGCCTGGCTAATATGAGTGAGGGTTGATAATTCACTTACACTTTTCAAGACTGTATGAGCCACAGTGCTGCAGACTGTATTTTACCAACATTCAGTATACCATATTTAAGTCTGTATAGTTCCTACAATCTTGAACTTGTCCAGCTGTATGGGGCTTCACAAATATATAAACTTTACAGTAAACATAATAGAAGGTGTAATAAATTATCAATCACAATGTTTAATTTCTATGGAACACCAAAAAGTGGGACACCTTAAGGGCTGTGCATAAACCTAGGTAAAGTAAAAACTCAGTAGACCTTGTATCCAACTGTTATCTTAAAATATTTTTAGCCTAAATATTTATGCAAAATGAGAATAGATGCTTTTGAAAACATGTTTCTATGTGTCTTTGTCACAATTTCAGAATCTTAAAACTAAAAACTATTTTGCATCCAGTATCCAAGTGGTTTGTGTACTGTACTAATGCAGAAATTCAGAGATACAACACTTTTTAATTCCAAAATGAATCATCTATTTTATTTTAAACTGAAAATAAACAAAAGTAAAGCTTAACATGATTATCTGAAGCAATCTTTTGGGTAGAAGCTTTTATTTTAAAACCTGTCAACAATAACCAACTCCCATTAAAACATTTGGGCAACAAAATAATGGTTTTGTTACTTTCTAACAAAATAAACAGTTAATATTTTAATGTATATACTAGTGTTATTATATAAACACAGGCTGATTATCACAATAAAAGTTCTACACAGTTATTTAAGAGAGACAGTTCAAATATTTATCAAGGATATGTGTTTAGCAAACACTGTTTTCCAAATTTTAAAAAATGAAGTATTTCTCACTATTAGCTACATTTTTAATTCTTATTCCCAAGAATACATCAATGAATATGCAGCATTAATAGCCATAATCCTTGTTTACGTGTTAACTCAGGAAAATCATGCCGAGTTCAATAATAGTTATTCTTCAGGTAGCACTGTTTAAGCAAACTAGAGAAAGTTAGGATCAGAATAGTGAAATAATTGCTAAGCCTATACCATTATCTTGAGTTTACTTAGTGTCTCCAGGATGCTTTTTCCCTTGGAATGAAAAACAATTCTAAACATTTCTTTCTCTTTCCACTTCACTTTCTTAAAGTGAAAACTAAGCTAGCAAAGTCTTAAAGTTTTGAAGCTGTTTAAAGAGGTTGCTTTCTCCTACTTTTATCTTTAACATCTTTAACTTTTTCCACTTATAGTCAGCACATTAATACAACATTCAAAGCTATTTTAAAAACCTAAGTATTATTTTTTATTGTCAAAATGAAGAGGTAATTTATAGCTCTTAATAGTAGTGAGATAATACAAGGCAAAGAGCCTACAACCATCAACCTACCAGATAAAAGTAGCGAGGGGGCAAATATTAAACTCAACTATTTATGAACAACTGTAACCTGCACTCTTAATTTTTTAGATGCTTTTGAAAATCTTAACAAATTGCCTGTTTTCAATTGAAATATTGCTATCAACTCTTAGTACATTATCTCTTAATAGAAACAATGTCAATATTATTAATATGAATAATTAGATTAAAATAAAGAAAAATTAAGATGAGAGAAGCCAACCGAGTCTCCCAAAGAATCACTGTGTGTATGTCAAAAACTGTTTAACAAGTTTGAAGAGCACCACTATCATCAGGAGTTTCTCTAAAGTTAGACCATCTGCAATGTGAAAGAAATGCAATTAAAAATCCCAAAGCCCACAGAATTAACTCAAGGAAATGTTTCATAAAGATTTTTTTTTTAAAGACAATAATCCCAACTATTCTGGAATAAATTCTTAGCAGAAAGGCAACTAAAAAATGACTAATCAAATATGAAGCAGTGCAAAATAGAAGGAAATTACTTTTTTTACTTTGATAGTATTGTAAATGGGTGGCAAAAATAAAAATATTCATGTATCAGTTGATCATACTGTGCAACAGACAACAGAATGCTTAATGATAAACCACATTAATTCAAAACCTTTTTTTTTTTTTAAACTAAAGTACAGAAGGCTTTTCCGGTACTAATTATCAAATTAGTCTTTGTCAAAGTCACAGTAATTTTATTTTTTGCCATGGTCTTTCTCAGATTCCAGAAGTGCAGATTGAATTCCTAATTTCTTAAGCTCTTCCACTAGGTCTCCACTTTGATGCATCTGGAGTAGTATGTCGCAACCTCCCACAAATTCACCATTAAGGTAGACTTGAGGAATAGTAGGCCAGTTGGAATAATTTTTAATTCCTAAATCAAAAAGTAAAAGAAAGTTAAATAACATATTCACTGGAACTATAAAATTTATCACCATGTACTAATTTAAAAATGTTGCAAAGGGAATAGTTTCAGATTAGAATGGAAGCAGCATAGGGTAATGGATTAATGTAAGAATACAGGAGCTGACATTAGTGTAGATATAAAACAAAGCATTTATAACAAAGCTATATTTATAACAAAGCATTTCCCTATTTAGTAGGGAAACGTTTATGTAGGAAAACAAAAAGAGAAGAGATCTCCATGTACAGTATAAGAATGCCCACTTTTATCCCCCTTGGTTATTATCTTTTTTGTTATAACTTACATAATTTCACAAAACAATTAGTATGTTTTTCACCTATTTTACTGAAAGATGGCATTATAAAGTGGCTAAACCAGTAAGTTAATTACAATCTGAACAAAGGTGTACCCATTCTAACCAGCTACATTACACACTAACGATCATTTTGTTTTTAGCATTTGTTTTAATATATAGACTCAAAAAATTCTAAAACTGGGAATGGCATATGAAAAAATCTAGGTTTTAATAGAAATATAAAAATGGTAAGATTAACAAAATATTTCACTGTATTTCTCTTTCCAAAAAGAACATTCTTATTTTAGATTCTACAAACTATTTCTTTCAAGCACAGTAATCTACTACCCTTGTTCCTTGTATGATCTCTCCCACTTTTAAAAAAACCAATACAATACCCATTTGCCCTATTTACTGATGCATAAACTAATTAACATTCATAGCTGATCTTAATTTAAGAAACAATATTTGGCTTTCAATTAAAATTCCAGCAGAGTTGTTTTGTCAAAGAACTACAGAATTATTTAAAGAATCGTGATGTCTAAAAAATCTTTTTCAAAAATTACTATATCTTAAAATTAAGCCTAAGAAGTTTTTATATTGAATATTTTCAAATACTTAAATATTATGGTACCCACTGGAGCTATAAAATTTATCACCATGTATTAATTAAAAAAATGTTGCAAAGGGTGTAGTTTTTGTCACCGTGCCCTGCTGAAGCCTTCAGTTCTATTTGCCAATCTATTTTCATCCACATTCTTATCTCTTTCTAACAGATCCTAGGTAGTTCAATGTGGTGTAGCTTGTTATGCATATATGACATAATTTTTCTCACTTCATAAAGCATAGAAAGTCAAGAAAAGTTATGGCATTCTTAACTATAAACCTCTTAAGCATGGTACTATTCCATAAGTTCACAGATCAGTTATGAATAATGCAGTGTAAATTTAATTCTTAGTTACCATAAAGATCTGGATATTTGTGTGTTTGTTTGTACATAATACATAATGCACATGCACACACGCACACCCACACACTGTATATGTGTATGTATGTGTGTGATTGAATAGTATGCAAAAAAGCGGAGAGGAAAAAACAAACAAGAATTCTTTGATACACATGAGTAAAAACAAGCATATTTAAGTTAGCACAGGACAGATTGGACTTTAGGTTTCTATTTTATTAATGTAAAATTATATTTTATTAATGTAAGCCTGAATTATATACCGGTAAATAAACCAATCTTTATAATTTTATGAAAATGAAGGAAATGCCTTAAATCACTTGCAGATTTGGATCTTGTTTAGAGTTTCTAAAGCATCTTCTTGAAGAACTCCATCTTCAGGCAAGTAAATTTGAGAATAGTTAAAGAAGTAATGCAAAGCCAATCCAGGGAATTATAAAGCAATGATTCAGTATTTTCCCCTCAAAACAAGGAGCCATAGCTATTTTTTCCAGCAAGGTCAGGCCAATTCAAATGGGCAAATATGGTCCTCAAGGTAGCATAGTGCAAAAATCATAAAGAATCTTTTAAATTTACACAACATTTTAAATTGGGCTTGGCAGCTTATAGAAACCTAATGTAAAGGTGTGTACAATATAACAGGTATAATATGCTCCAGGTAGTAAAGGAGGACTCTCAAGTTGCAGACCTACCCTTTCATAGATAGTATTCCACATCAAATCACCACTGGAATTGCCTGAGAAACCTGGTAAGAGTTATCTGTCTTGCTAGGCTTCAGTGTTAATATATACTCTCCCATGCAAACAAACTCTCTCTCTCTCTTCAGAAAGCAAGAAAATATCTTAACAATCTCACCAGAACAGTAGCAGTGGCAATCAGCCAGTGCAATATGAGATGGCACTTGTTCTAGCCTGCTTAATCCTGAATAAAAAAAGTAATTGTGAGAGAGGAGGTGATCTATTTAAGAAAGACCAAAATTGAATTTAACATGCACTTTCTGAGTCCTTATTTAGTAAGCCAAATTGCATGGATGATATTTTGTTTTTGTGATTCTATTTTCTGAATGAGTGTCAAATTAGATACAAAGGAGAACAAAGATGATTGTTTTAATCAGGCAGCAAAGACCACAAACTGCCTAGAAAGCTCCAAATGTCAAATTTAAGCACCAAAAATGTGGACTACATCTATAGTAGCAATGTATTTGCCTTCACCTAGCAGTTGTCTGCATTTTTCTTTGATAGTCCTAGTCATGATGAAGGCAAGCAAACAAATGAGCATGTTCCCTTGTGAAAAGACAGGCGGGCCAATGAACAGAGACCATTACTGCCATTGTCCAAGATCACCACCACCCCCATTCCCCGCATGGTTAAATCTGTTTACGATTTAACATTCTTGGTGTGGCCAGCAAGAATAGGTGTCGCCTATCCAGTCAATCAAGTAAGTCTAACTTGCTTCTTAAGGTAACTGAGGAAAAAACAAAAGATGGGACCGGAGGCATAAGAAACAAATGGGATTGCTTTGGAGGAAAATAGAAGTTATGCATCTAACCTAAAAACCACATAAACTATGAACGAACTGCGGGGGGGGGGGGAAAAAGGGGGGCTGCCAATGGCTGAATAGACTTGGAGCTCTGTAGGGCCCAGTCAGTTGGGCTGAGCAAGGGCGACGCCTACCTTGCCGGAGGTCGGGATCTTGGAGGACGTCGTAGGCACGATAATCATTAACACCATGAAGGCGCAGAATCTGCACCACCGCGTTGCTGAAGCCGCACTGGGGCTGGGCCGGGCTCCCCTTCATGAACACCACCACCGGATGTGCGCGCACCAACCGCTCCACCGTCTCCTTTGACCCACTGCCCTCGCCATTGGAGCTCGGTCCCCCCTGACTCAGCTGCTGCACAAAATATCCCGAGGGTCGTGAGCGTCCCGCCAGCCGCAAGGCTGCGGGTAGTCGGCAAAGTGACCCAATCATGACCACCACAGTGGCCGCCTCCTCGACTTTGCAGAAGCGTCTTCCTTTGGAGCGACCTTCCACGCTTGGGGCCACCCAGAAGCACTGATTGGGACAGTTGGTCCCGCCCGCTTGCCAAAGTAGTTCTATGAAAGGTAGAAACTGGTATCAATCACTTTCAAGATATTGGCAGCAGCTATGAGAGCTGCCTGTACTTTAGCCCTGAGCGGCGGACCAATCCGGCGGAACCAAATTACACTTCTACATTGCGATTAGCTAAACTCGAGCTCCAATTGCAGCGCTCTGGGTGGGGCCTTTAAAATACTTTACTGTAAAAGCATCGTTGCGATTTTTCGACTGTGAAGGAATGGGCGCGCAGTAGGTCTTTTTTGGCTTGTGGAGTAGGCGAGCAAGGAGATAGAGCGAGTTAGGATCTTGAAATGTGAAGCTGAAAAAACATTTTTTTTTTTGAAATTCTGCTCAAAAGAAGAATGATAAGGAAGCACTTTCCTTTGCATGCCGGGCAGATCTTGAACTAACAAAGGTAGTGTGCATTAAGATGAATCGTAATTGTCGTCCCTATAGACTAAAGGACATCTTGAATTGTGATACTGTAACTCGGCGCTACTCCTTATTGCGGTTCTTGGGGAGGGGGGGGGTTTGCCTGGGATGGAAGTGAGTTTTAGAAAGGGGACGGGGGTTAGCCAATGGATTCTTTAACTGCAGTCCGGCTCCCAACTCCCAGGTTTCTATAGATGGCTTACCTAATGGTTATGGCCAAATTTCTAGTTTCAAAGTAAAGTTAAAGCAGCAGAACTATATATTTCTTCTGTTATGGCACTGATTAATTTTCACTTTAATAGCCATGTATATAGCAAGTATTACGGGCCCAATTGGCAAAAGAAAGCTCAGGACCATATTGTTTGGAACCATGAGGAAGAGGCCTTCATCCTGCAGTGGATAGACAATGGTTACAATGATGATGACAATACAAGCGAAGGAACATGATAGGAACTCTGTTCTTTAGTGCTTGTGTAAAACTTCACTAAAGTCCAAAAGGGCAGAGTCACAATTTTGTAGCGTCCATTTAATCATACATATTAGCATCATTAAGTCAGTCTTATAGTTTAAATGCTGTCTTTGTCTTCGATATGTATCCAGATGTGCTTCTCGAGTTTGTTATCCATGTTTTACACTGTAATACAATTAACATTTTGGCCTGATTCTGCATGATACAACTTGTTATATTTACTCAATCATTTTATCTCAAGGCTAAACATATCATGCTGGAGCACATATCTGCAAATACTAGCATTAGACAGTAGTTTGGCATGGAAAAAAATTTCAAGAGTCACATTTTTTTTTTTGCCACTATTAAGTGAATTACTGCAGTTGATAATTTAGTAGCCTGGTTGTTAAGTGAATCTAGCTTCCCCATTGACTTTGCTTGTCAGAAGGTCTCAAAATGTGATTGCATGACATTGGGGCACTGCAACTGTCATAAATATGAACTAGTTGCCAAGCATCTGAATTTTGATCACATGAGCATGGGGGAAGCTGCAAAGTTAACTATGAAAAATGGTCATAAGTCACATTTTTCAATGCTGTTGTAACTTTGAATGTCACTAAATGAATTGTTGAGGATTGCCTGTATTTAAATGGCAACATTATTTCAGGGGTGGAATTTATTTCAATAATTATTGCTGCTGAGAATGCGGTAAAAAAAATAGAATCATAGATTGATATTGAAAACAAGCATCACAGCATGATTTTTTCTATAAAAAATGGTGGTTCAAATTCCAACCATCACAGCAGGGTTCTTTAATAAAAGATGTTTGTCCAAAATTCTAAAAAGTTAACTAGTGATCTACAAGAAAAACAATGGATTTTTGCGAGACATTCAAGATTGTGTCTTGTATTTTCTAAGTTTTGTAGGCAAGATCATATTTAATCAGCAGTTTTAGAAATTGACACAATTAATTTGTTGGTTCTCTTTAAGTGTGCAGCCTTGAAATTGCCCTTAGTTGACTTGTACTCTGGGCATATTGGGTTTGCAAAGAGTATTCAACTGAGGAAGCCGAGGCAGGACTGTAAAAAAAGCAGCAGCAGCTCCATGTGCCATGTTCCTCTGACATATTTTACACTGTTACCACGGAGATGATGATTGTCTTTGTATCATTATCCATCTGTCAGCAGTAAGAGTAAATTTGCAGTGTGATATTGTTCAGCAAATGAAGAATTTCTACTGAATACATTAAACTGCTATATTTATTTATATTGTTTAAAACCAAGTAATACATATACTCCAAATATATTTTTAAAATGTATAACTATTGTTTTTGGTGTGCTTCTATTTTCAGATTGCAAGATATAATTGAAGATTGTATCTCAAGAACTTGCTTAATATTTAAGTATGCACCTTTAGATCTTATCTTTTTTAATTTTGAAAGTTCAATAACACAGAAGAGGGAAATTATAGTAAGATATATTCTACTATGTATTTGAAATAATTTCTCTCAAGTGGATGCTATGCTTAGAATTTAGTTATCTATCTTGTAGGGGATATATTAATGAAACTATTGACTTATACAATACAGCATTGTTGTATACAGTATGGATCAAACTAAAAATTGCTCTGATATACCCTTGCCAGGTGTCCACTATTTGAGCGGACAGTCCACTTTTTTCACATTATGTTCACTATTTTTTTTTCACAAAATAGTGGACATTTTTTTATTCAAAAGCTTTATGATGAAATGGTACATAATCTAAAGCTGTACAGTCTAAGAGAATAAGGATAGGAGAATCGCGTTTTGTCTTTTTTTTCATAAGTTAGAATGAGACAAAGATCGAATATCCATTGAACTCGATTCTCCGAAAAACTTAATGATGAGATTAAAATAAAAATATATTATAAAATTATGTACAGTTCACATTTTTAAAATGTATTGTAGCTTGTGTTGACTGACCTAAAATGGCGTCGAGTGATGAGAGTGAAAGCGGCGAGATTTCGAATTCTTTAAAACGAAAGAGAGGAGTGTGCAAATACACCAAAGACTGGGAAGCTACTTTTCTCTACTCTTTCAGTGAGAAAGTGACTGTAGCTGAAATGGCTGAAATTTACCATGGGATCAAACACCATATTTCTTTCCTGGCTCAAGATTGCAATATTAAGTTAATGAAGCAAATTTTTGATGATTCAGAAATTGTAAAAAAGATGTATTGTGGAAGAACCAAATCATCAGCTATTATCAATGAGGTTTTGTATCCTTTTTCTATTGAGTTGGTTCTCAATGATCTTAAAACTGGAATTCCATTTTCTTTCTCCACTGATGCATCAAACAAGGGAAATCCCAAATGTATCCCGTTGTTGCACAATATTTTACTTGTGAAGGACTGTGTGTGAAAATTTTAGACTTTTATGAGGATTCTTTCAAAGATTCTACATCAATAAAAAATCAGCTGTGTCGAGTTCTTAATGATAACGAATTGGAAATAATGTTTCATCTTACTCAACAGATAATGCATCGGTCAATTATGGAGTGAACAAATCTGTTTACCAAAAATTATTGCTGGAAAATGACAATATTGTAGCTGCTCATTCAATAATCACATTTTACACAACAGTGCAAAAAATGCATTAAAGCAGTTATCTTTTGATACTGAAAATGTAGTGCTGAAGGTTTTTGCCTAATTTTCGAATTCTGCGAAGAAACAAGAGTTGAAATCATTTTTTGAGTTTTGCGAGTCAGAATTCCATGAAGTTTTGCGCCATATTCCAACATGTTGGTTAAGTTTGTTTAAAGCGGTCAAAAGACTTCTTTTAAACTGGATACCTCTAAAATCGTATTTTATTTCTCTTGGATCTGATGAGTGCCATAAGGTTATCTGGAACCTTATTTCGGATCAGGAAAATGAACTCGCAAAGGATGATGAACCAACAATTTCAGAATTGTATTTATATTTCACGCACTTCTTCATGTCAATAATGCAAGACACCCTACTGAAGCTGAAAAGCAAGAAAATTCTTGCATGTGATCTTCACATTATCATGTGTAAGCTGCGTGATTGATTGCAAAAAAAATACGATGAGCAGTTTTTTGGAATGAAAGTTTTATTTGCCTTACGTGAAAAACATTTGCCTAAGAATGCCGTGCAAAAGTTCAAGAAAGAAGCCATCAACGTGTATCAAAGAGCCATTGCGTACCTAGAAAAGTGGTATAATTTCACCGATTCAGTATATGAGACGCTAAGTTGTTTCAATCTAATTGATCACAATAATCCTCCAACTTTAGAAGAAATGACAAACATCTGGTTATTATCACCATGGCAAGAAGAACTTCCACCCAACACTGTCTTCGATGAAATTTCTGCTTTAGAAGAAGTTTATGTTCATCTGCAGGGCGATTCATCCCTTGATAAGTGGACGTACTTTTTCAAGAAAGAGCCAGCTCCGAGTTTACTGAAACTGTTCCAGTATTGTGCATCAATTCCGGTATCAAATGCAAACGTTGAATGAATTTTCAGCGTCATGGGCAATTTGTGGACTGACGAACGTAACCGACTGCTTGTACCATCAGTTCGAAGTGAACTTTGTATATTTTTTAATATTTCTCAACTTTGTACTGAAATTAAAGAATTATTTCTTAAACACAAAGAATTGATCAAAGCTGCGCAGTCAAATAAAAAATACACACGACAGCAAAGTAAAATGTAATTTAATATTTTATATATTATAATATATTTGATGTTTTGAATTTTAAGTAAAATTTTGAAGTGATTATTTTAATACGTGTTAAAATGTTTGTAAGAAAATATATAATTTAATTTTAAATTTTTTTTTTATTTTTTTACTACTTAACCCCCCCCCCCCCCCCCGCTTGTCCACTATTTTTTGGAAAGACCTGGCAACCCTACTCTGATAACAGTATTTCTCATAAACGTTACTATTTAGATCCTAACCATTTAACTGTATTTAATTTTAAATGCTATTATAATTAGATCTTGAATATCCTCAAGATCATGGATCTTCTGGTTTAATGTTATCGTTTGCTTGGATTGTTGCAATATTAATATACATTACATTGCATGATTAAGATGTTTTGTTCAATGAGATTGCTGCTCAAAATGATGTAGAAAGATGGCTCAGAAATTTTGACTAGACAATGGTAAATGTATCTTCTTTCATTTGCATTAAAAACAATTTTGTCATGGCTGAAATAAAACAAATCTAACATACTGAATTCTTTTCTCTTTGGTGATGACTGGGATCAATGTGAATAGAGGCCCTAATATAGTAACATGTACATTAAAAAATTGGTGAGCCAGATCATATGCACTAAACAATTGGTTTTTTTTTCCATTTCTGGAGTAGTTTTTTTTTTATTTATAATTTTAATATTAAAACAGTAATAATATAAGTATCCATACCCAGAAAGCTTCTGTTTGCAAATTCTATAAACATTCCCCTGATCATGTTAATGAATGCATAATTTTATCTTCAGGTTTTGAATTTCAAGCAAAATTACTGATGTTTAAGGGATATATTTTTGAAAGAAAGAGGATATAAAAATCCTGTATTAACTATTGCAACTGAAATAGCATTTTTTTCTAGTCCCATTGTTGTACAATAACTTACACCCATATATGTTTGGTCCCAGATAATTAAAAAAGAATCAGTCATATAGAAAACTAAGGCCAAAGAATGCAGGTTGAAGAAATTCTGAATTTTCTAACAGCTTCATTCCATGTGATACAAATACTTTATTAATGCATATAATAATTTTATATACCATACTTTTCGGAGTATAAGATGCACTTCCCCCCCCAAAAAAGTGGGTGAAAATTGCGGTGCAACTTATACACTGAATATAGCCGAAGCCCCGACCCCGATCCTTCGGCCATTTTCGGCCTCCATGCATTGCGTTTTTGCCCTTCGCACGCCCTGTTTTAGGCCCGTTCCAGGCTGCACAAATCACCACAGCACATCGCTGCCTCCACATGTTGTGTTTTCAGCCTCCGCATGCCCCATTTTTTGCCGCCGTACGTCACATTTTTGGCCAGTTCCAAGCAGCTGGAATCGGCGGGGCTATTCCTACAGGCAGCAAATCACAATGACTTAAAGAACAATATGTTATTTGTTCTAAAGCTCACGTTAATGTATCATGCCAAACCACAGTTGGCTGAATTATAGAAAAGCACTAATATAAACATGGTTTATAATCCATAACTAAATAAAACAGAAGAAAAGCCATTATAAAATATGTTGTGTTTAGTCTTATAAGAAAACAAAAACAGATCAATTTAGGGACATCCTTTTATTAATCTGTATAAATGGGCAAACATTTCCAACAACAGAGAAGTATTTTAATATCAGTCGAGAAATCGATATCAGCCCAGAGACCCTTCAAGGAACTATTTAAGAATATGAGCAATAATACTATATACCAGACACTGTAAAGGAAAACTATTTAGTGACTTTATAACTTTTATTTCACAGAAGCAAAATATTCTAGAAACAACAAATTCATAAAGTAGAAGGAAAATAATTGGATATTGAAAAAGCATAGTGGAATTTGGATTTTATTCAGTTGCTCAAATAATTAGCAAATCCTTTGTAAATACTATTAAGAACCTCATTTTAAAGTGGAGATAAATGTAAGTGAAGCCAAAAAGAAGATAGCCATACTGTGATATATTGTTTACTGTAATATATATGAAGCTGCCAAAAATTACATTCTTTGTGACTACAAAAATCTATGTACACCTATATAATTGTATACTTCTATCCTTAAACAGCATCCCATTTTCACAGATACTATCCAGAAAATCAACTGATTGAACATTATTCTAACATCAAATCTGTAAAGATTACCTTCCATAAAAACATGATCCTATAAAGTTTAACTTTTTGTCAGTGGTAGAGTGAGTGAAAGCAGAATTCCTGAATTCTTGCATCAGCTTCTATAACTGGTTTTTCTTCATTTGTAAATTGGACTTCTGTGTTAGCACATTTTCCCTCTGTACTGAATAGTAGAATTAGATCAAAGGAAAAATTGTTAAAAGCAGGCAGGTTTGTATAGAATGTAAATTAGTTAATTCAAAATTTACTCTGTGTATGTTGGATAGTTGGCTTCTACAATGTTGGTGCAACTGAAGTTCCTCGTCTAAGCATTTAGGCAATCACAATTTTGCAACAATAATTATGAAAGTAGCCTGTGCATATATGACCACATCGTTTAATGAGCAGTCCTGACAGAATATTGTCACTGTGAGCATTTACACATGCAGACAAAAGGATTCTTGGATTGAACTCATGATCTAAACAGCCTCTCCCAACTTTATACTTCTGGGAAGTTTTAAAACAAAAACACTATATAGCAGTCTTTTGCAACTCTAACTTCAACTCCCGATATGTTGTCCGGGGAATTCTGAGAATTAAAGTCCACACATTTGAAAGTTGCTAAGGCAATACAGCAATGGAAATGTGAAGTCCTTGAGTCAATTTAATAATGTTTTCATTCTACATAATTGCTCAATGTTTCCTGAAGTAGAGAAGTGCTTCTAGAGTATTAAAATCTTGTTTTGCAAATATATGTAGAGCTTTTAAAATTTCTAAGAGGCTGGCAACTGAAAGTTATTTGAGCACCCTTCTTTCCAGTCACACTTCTCATTGTATCCTACATCAGTGTCATTTTTTCTACATTGAAGTCAATGTTCCAATCATTAGAAACACATTGAGAAATCTGAAGTCTTAGAAAAATGTCTGACATGATAGCTGAACACTTCTTATATAGGATCGAGGGAAACGTCTGCTATTAGTGCCCCTAGTCTATTTCCCCTATTCCAGATTATTATTTGGATTGAGATATTTTTTAAAAGCCTGGACAAATGGTAGCCTTTGTGTTCAATATTGAGTGTTGGCTTTTTGTTCAGTTTTTTCTTCCCAGTTTGCTTGAGCCATTCATGGGTCTCCCTGTTACTGCATGTTACTCAAATGTTGGGCTTTACAAAGAAATGAAATGACAAGAAGACATACCTTCATTGACCACTTCCTGTAAGGACCAGTAACTTAAGGCATGACTGTTTTCTTCCCTTTCATTCTTCTATCATCTTCATGAGTACAGTGAATTTGAGAAAAGAACATCTCACACGCTAGAAGAACTATCCATCTACTAACTTCATGAAACTAGTATAATATGAAACTAGTTCACATAACACACTTGATGTAATCACAGCTTCTCTTGCACTATTTGGATCTAATACCACAAAGTCAAAAGAATCTTAATTTAGAGAATGTACACTGTTCTCACTTATTGTCTTATTTCATATTGTTGAAGGCAGCATTTTGTGACCCTGGAGATGGGGTCCAACTTTATAAGACTACTTCAGCAAATGTAAGTTTGACAGTATTAAGGTTTATTTACAGAAGTACCTGGAGTGGGCAAAAAAGCCTAACATTTAGCTAGCTACATTGCATGAAGAGGACAGTCAGAATAATTCCATGTATGGTGTAGTGGTCAAGGCATCAAGCTAAAAACCAGAAGACTCTGAGTTCTACTCCTGCCTTAGGCACAATGCCAGCTGAATAGCTTTGGTGAGCCACTGTTTCTTAGAAGAAAACCACTTCTGAAAAGATTGTCAAGAAAACTGAGAACTTGTCTAAACAGTCTCTTAAGAATCAAATTGACTTTAAGGTTCCATTTTCCTGTGTGTGCCTAGAGAACTAAGGCTAGAAGTAAGAACCAAGATTGCAATTTCATAATCAAAGAATGGGCAAAATAAGACATAAAGAGACATTTCAAAAGTAAATTCTTAACTTTCTCTTTATGCTTCCATTGCCCTTGTGGTCACAGCTATTATGAGTGGCTAAGTGCCAATGCATTTCATATCCTACCCTTCCTAGACATCCTGATCAGCAGAGACCACAATGGCAACTAGAAACACTTGCTCGCTTCCCGGTATCTCACCTCACTTCCTGACTTCTCACTTGCCTGGCCTCCCAAGGGGGAGGGGGAATAGCATTTCCTTTGTCAGCTGGCCCTGCAAGAGGAGAGCCTCCCTTCCCCCGGCCTTCGTTACATGACACAAGCCACCTTCCCCTTCTTCGTCTGCATGAGCAAAGCGTAAGGAGTGAGCGACATAGCCATAGCAGGCAACAAAGAATCATCCACCTGGCATGCTCCCACAATCCTCAGACTGAAGCCACAGGGAGGGGGGAGAGAAAGGAGTGCATACAAAAGACTGGAGAGCTTCAATTAACGAGCACACAGCAATCTAGAGCCGGAATCACTTGGGACTCGGCAGGGCTCCCTGCACAGGCACGTTCTGGCATTACTGTGGTATGGGTACCCTCAAGAGTGGCAGCAGGCTTGAGTGAGCGCCGGCTGTGGGGAAAGAATCCCAGGAGAACGTGTCCCTTGAAGGAAATGGGGAGAAAAAGGTGGGAAGCCCTGCTTCCCTAAAACTGTAATAATGCCACTACCACCAACACCCCTCCTCCTCTTCCTGACCTTGCAACTTGCCAAGAATTCAATTTGGAGTCGATCAGTTGAATTTTCAGCTCGGAGTGGATGAGGTGGCTTATGATATTGGGAGGATGGAGAGAGCAAGGAAGGGGAGGTAATTATGTCCTGGACAAAGTGGAGGTTTGCCTTGGGGAGGAACTGTCTGAGCCACAAATTAGCCACTAATGTGGGGCGGGGCATGGCGAAGTTCAGCTGATTTGCCGAACTGAACAAAAAGTTAGCTACCGGTTCTACCGAACCAATGCAAACTGGCTGAATCCCACCACTGCCTGATATGAAATATGAGCCTGGAACATGGATTATATTGAACGGTAAATATTCTTCCTTAACATATTGGAAAACTCTGATTTATTATTTTATTAAATCATGGTTGGATCTCCTGGCTGAGGATAAGTTAGATCAATTAATTTCCCCTTCTGGGGCCAAGTCCTGCTATGCTGCCATGTTGTGGTGAGGTATTCCGGAAGAGATGAGCAAAGAATACTGGGAGTTTATGCCAAGAATATATATTCACAGCACGATCCAGGTGCCAGCAAAAGCAAGCATTTTTATTTGGCAGCAGCAGTATAGGAGGATGCTGAGGGCAGATAATCACATTAGAACAGAACAGAATAACAGAGTTGGAAGGGACCTTGGCAGTCTTCTAGTCCAACCTCTTGCTCAGACAGGAAACCCTAAAGCGTTTCAGACAAATGTCTAGTCTTGATTCAG